ACTGCTGGAAATTCATCTCATCACCAGATCCCCCCATGCTCCTGCTGTGTAAGCCTAATTAAATTCTTACAGCAGAATAATTAATCATTAGTAAGGGAATTAAATATTAGTCTGTATTATGGTAAACATTAGTTGTGTATTAACAAGCTCATTAGCTATTCATTAACCTTTTAAGGTCTTCAAAATCCCCTTTATCACACTGCAGGTTTGTGTTAAATGTCTGTCTCAAATGACCTGCTAAAGGCATCAAGAATTCCAGGACCTGTTTAGTTGTTATGCCCCTTTGGTTATTATCTCCCTTTTTGTTGGATTTGATTTAAATTCAGCTATAGAGAAAACTTACCTTATTATTGATATGGAACCATTAAAACCTCCCAGGGATTGAGAGAATCAGTTCCCAGATGATGTATGATCACTGAGGCAATGATTATTTTTATCCTGTTGTTGCTCTTGTTTGGCATAAGGCACTGGCAGAGCTTAACCCTCACTCAGGAGTACGTGCCCTACAAAGATGCAGAACAGGGACTAAGAGAGGGCAAATCTAATGAGTATGTTTTTATTCCAATAAGATTCAGAGGCACAGTGCCATTTTTGCCCCTTCCTTCCAGGTCATTAAGGCAAATCCCTGAATTTCTCTGCACCTCCCTTCCTTCACTGGAAGCTAAGACTATTTCTCATGTCCCACCTCTATCCTTTTTTATTAAAAATGTAAGTTGTTCAAGGGTGTAGTTTGTGCAGGCTGGTGTCCAGCATCAGGTTTACTGCCTGCAGGGTTTACAGCCCAGTCATGGCCAAGGAAAAATGATGGGGATGAACCAGGTGGGTGAAGGAGGGAGCAGAGGGACCTGCTGCCTGTGACATCCAACACTGTAATGGTGAGAGATCTGTGGCCAAAGCAAGGGCAGAGCTGCTTTTGGGGGTCACAAGCAAAGTATTTATAGTGTCTGGATAAAAGAAAAACTTATCCTTCCCATCTGAAAGCCACTTGGCAGCACAGCCTTGGCCACGAAGCTGTGGCTCTCATTTCCCTACCCGCTGGTTGGTCAGGGAAGCAAATGGGAGCCAAGTGAGGAATGACACGACCTGTTTGCCAGGTTCCTGCCTGGGGCCTGAGAGGCAGCAGAGCTGTTTCATGGCAGGGTCTGCCTGCAATGCAGGAGGAGTTCTGCCTCCTCCCTCCTCACCTGCAGCCCAGGGCTGGCTGTGGTGCAGCAGAGATCTGCTCTCAGCTGGAGAGGTGCCTGAAACCCTGGCCCTGCTGCTCAGGGCTGAGCTGTGTCTGAAACCCTGGCTCAGGTCTCCTGCCTTTGTGGTGATGGATTGTGTCCTGGCTTGTCCTTACCGAGCGATCATTAATTCCTTGCATCTTTTAATTAGGGCGATTTCTTTTGGCCTGCTGGAAATGCTTTCCTCATGTGGATTAATTAAGAATAAAGCCTAGCTCTGACAATTTAATATGAGCTCTGGTCAGGATGCAGGCAGTCTTCTAAGACATTATTCATTACACCATTCTTATTCTTCTTAATATTTGCTTTTAAACCATGTTTTTCTGAAACAGAGGACAGTAATTGTTAGTTGTTCTCCACAAAGTTACAGGTAGAATTAGTTCAGCTGGAGAGCAAAGCTGTGTGTGAAGCATCACCTCTGCCCTGTGGGCTGCACAGATGCCCTTGGGCAGCTCTTTTGTTTTGGGATTTGCACCTCTGGGCAGCAGGGGTTCCTGGCTTAAAACCAGACACTTCAGCCCCATGAAATATCAAATCCTGTTAATGCTTCCTGCTGTTTTCTCCTTTCTTTTAGCAGCAGCTGACTGGTTTGGTCTTTGCAAGGAGTGAAACAACTGTCTAGGGATGTGGGCAGTCAATAAATCAATACTGGCTAGTGAATGACTTTGTTCTGCTCTTCCTCAGGGTGTCTCTTTAAGTGCTAGTTTGATTGGCCTGCGGGATTTGCAGAATTATGATGATCTCTTGGAGAATATTCACCCTTATGTGCATGACTTCAGGTTACTTTCATCTTCATATGACCTCCCTCTAACATATTTCCCATGAGAAGTTATAATTCTGTATCAGCAAAGAATTTGGGTAGAGTTTCATTCCTTCACAGCTTGAATTTGTCCAAGGAATACTAAAATCTGTATTACAAAGTTAGAGGTGTAACAGACTGGATCAAATTCAACTCAGCACGGGGGTTGCTGTGGCACAGCCAGGGCTGATGGGATGTGGGACCATCCATGGGAAGGTCCCTGGTGAGGGGAGATGGGACAGAGGACCTGCACATCTCAGGTCTAATCCAATCTGGGACCCCACCTACTTTGATTTTTCCTCTTCAAACTCTTTAAGTTCTCTCAGGGATCTTTTAGTGAGGCTTCTCAGTTTTAACTTCTTATAAACTAACCTTGAGAATAAGCCATGAATTTAATGATGCTTCTGCTGTGCAGCTTCCTTGGGTGCGTTACTGTGAGCCAGATGAGAAAAGTGCTCTGATGAAGTGGGATTTTGCTTGCCATGGATGTTTATATAAAATCTCCATGCCTAGATGCTTCCAGGAATGTAAATGTGAAAGGAGAGGAAGCAGATGCCTTTTAGCAATATTTTTAAGATATCTTTTAGTTTGCTTTTGAAGTCCTAGAGGATATTGGGCTCTTTCCTGGCTGATTCCTGAGTGAGAGCAGCATCCTGACTCCCCCTGGCAGGGCTACACTGCTTCCCCTGCACAGAAGCTGTGAGAGCAGCAGCTGACAGGCTGGGCCTCCACCTGGGAGCCCCAAATCCAGCAAAGTTATTCACGGTGTGGTGTTCTTTGTGCTGACCCCAACATGCCCTGACTGCAATATTCAGCAGCAGGAGAATATTCCTGTTGCTGTTGCTGTGCTTCAGATCAGGCATTTTGCTGAGCTGCATTTAAATGTCCAAACCAGAGCAGAGTGTTCCCACTAAACTTTTTCATGGACTTGTGTTCAGTATAATGAGAAATTTAAAATATGGTGGTTATTGTATGTTCTACCTTGAATAATTCTCCCTAAATTCCTAAGGGATGCTCAAACATTAAATGGGAAGGGTACAGAAATACTTTAATTTGTGTAATCAGGGCCAATCCCTTTCAATTGTCTTACCAGCTAAAGTCTATAAATCTTTTGTTACTCATTTCACTTTTGCTTCTACACTGGTACCAGCACCGTGTTTTTCTGAAGCCAGAGGAGTTGAATTTCTGTTCTTAGAAGGTCATTTCAGAAACATGTTAATGACACCATAATTGACACCATAATTTCAAATTAAGCACCACAAATAAGGAGTCGTTTTTGCAGACTCTACTTGGTCATGGAACTCTCAGTTCCTTAGTTTTATGCCTTTAAAATGTATTTTAGTTTGTTTTGAGTTTTGGCTCTTTCTTTTTGCCTTCAGAATTTCTAAGGCAAGATTGCTTCATATAGTGATTCCACTGTTCACATATCATAGAAAAGCAAAAGAAAAGGCCATGTATGAGGTAGTCAAAAGATCAAGCAAATATTTCACTCAATGTACAACAAAATATTATGAGGTAATTTTATTTTGTTTCCATTTTTAGGTAAAAATATTACAGTATACAAGATAATCTTATTAAAGGTAAAAATACAGTATTTTGCTTTGTCTCTAAACAGATCTACGTACAGTCCACTTTTTTTTTTTAATTTTGTTTTCTTTGATTTTTGTACAAATATAACTATTATTCTATTAGGCTATCTGTATTCTCATCTGGCACTTAAGAACTGGTCACAGGTCACCTTCTGGCTCTGCTTGTTTGTCTCAGCTGATCCCTAAATGTCGTGCTCATTTCAGAGGTGTCTCCTGTAAACAAACAGCACAGTTCCACGGTTCCCAAGTAGTAAGGTGTGCTTTAAGTAGTTGAAATCCTGGAGCTGACTGGGAAATCCACCTTTGCACAGACTCATCTCCTTCCTGTTGTAAAAGTGTGGTCTGAGTCCTTGTTTTACCTCAGCCTTAGAAGAGTTTTAATCCCGTCCTCATCCTCTGTAAGAGCCAAACACGTAAGTCAATAATTTCTACACTGATTTTTCCTTTCTTTCCTTTTTTTTCCTGCTTTTTTCTTTTTTTTTTTTTTGTCAGAATGTTCAATTGAAGCCTTTTTGTGTTAATTTCAAGGGCTTGTTCTTCGTGATTGATCTCACCCTATGGCTTGCTGCTTGACCTCTGGAATCTGAAAGCTGAGCTCACTGCTGCCTCTGGATGGATGTTGTTCCTTGAACACAATAGCACAAGGTATTTTATCTGTGGGTGTTCCTGGGAGGTGGGTTTCACATCAGGATGGATATTCCAGTACACTGTTGTCAGGGTTGGGATCATTTAAGGACAAAAGAGAGGCTGGGTGCATCCAAAGAGCCCCCATCCATCAGCAGGCTGGCTAATACAGCTGGACAAGGTGGAGAGGAGCTTTTGGCAGGAAATCCTTTTATCAGGTTCTAGTAGAGGGGTGAAAGGATGATTTTTCCAAGTCTGTCATCCATTCTCTCTGTGTCATACTCTGCCTTGGTCATTTCAGCAGATGACTTTTTATTTGCCACGAGCCACGGTGCTGTTCAGAGTTATCTTCATGGCTGCCCATGTAAACATAAAAGGAGAATACACACCCAAGAATAGGAATTTAAAACATTTTGCAGGGAATATGTTTGGCACATTTTGTTCTTCAGACTTGACCCAATCCTGGTCAGGACAGTCTCAGTTGCTGTAAGTGAGCACAGTTACATTGTCTTCTCTAGAGAAAAATGGATGAAGATCTGCATTTTTTGCCTTTAACTGGAGGTGCCTTCTCTGTGGTGCACTTATTTCTGATGTCAAAGGGCAGGTATTTTTACCAATAAGTCACTTTTGTATCAGAAATGGTTTAACTGCTAACCCACCAAGTGGTGCAAAATGCTCCTACCAACACTTGCTGCCAGCAAAGGCTGAGTGTGCAGTACCCAACTTTTAGGTGGTTTTTGCCCTCCTAAGATGCTGGTTGAGACTGAATAATATTTAGAAAACCAGTTGCCTTTCTGTATTCACCATCAAATGTCCTTATTTAAGGTCTTCCCAAACTTGTCACTCAGCTGCTGTATTAGTTTTGCCAGCTCACCAGTAGCTTGGGACTTCTCTTCTAAGAGTTCATAGCGCAGACTAGAAATGTCTTGTTTGATCTCTTTAAGTTCTCCTAAAAGGAAGAAAACATTCTTGTTAGCAACACTGAGTCAAGTAAGTAACCCCTGTGGTTTTAAGAGCTGAGAGGGAGCACTATTTTCAGTGTGTTTGGTCGTGGATGTGTGTGGAGCTGCATTAGGCACTCCCTGCATTAGGCACTTAATATTTGCATTCATGAGAAATAACCTGCACTTGCAGCAGTGGTGCTGACACCAATAGCAAGTCTGTACAGAAAATTCATATTTTTCTCTTAAATCTGTTCTCTTTCCACATATTGACCTCTACCTACACGGGGCACTTGCAGGAAGGTGGCAGTTTAGAGGTGTTGGAGGTTCTTTTCCATCTGCATGGCACCATGGCAATACGAATCCATCCTAGGGGCAGGCCTGGGCAGTGCAGCCAGAAACTGCTTTACTTAGACACCAAGTTGGGTGTTGGCAATACCCTGGTTGTTGTGAAGAAGGAGAGGTATAGCAGGATGGTGTAATATCTTATGAGATGTGTGATCTGCTAAGGAAAAAGAGAAGCTCAGAGGTGGCTCAGAGTCATCGCTGCTCACATGAGTGAGCTCTCTCTCTACAGAGGATGCTCTCTAAGCTCAACCCTCTTGCTGGCCAGATCAGTAGCAAACACACCACAAGCTCATTCCATGTGTGAGTTATAAAAATCCACTTGCCTTCGTTGACCTCATCGTTTTCTCGGTCAACCTGAGCCTTGAGCACGTATCGTTTGATCAGACGCTTCATGATTTTCTGAAAGGAGAACACAAAAGCTTCTGTTCATGTGAGATTGTCCACCTGGCCTCAGTTCTACACTTCTTATGGGCAACTGAAACTACGGGTGATTCTTTATTGACTTCCCATTTATTGTATATTTTATATTATTGCAGTGGTTGACTCACAGCCATTATGACCCCACACATGAAGCACTTCGGGGTGTTTGATGGGATGCACGTGAATGTGGAGCACGTCCCACTGACAGAAAGGAATCAGATGATCCAATAGAAAGGTAAGAAATGGGTTCCAGAGCCTTTTTTTTAGCATGTTGCTGTTCAATGCAACAATAAAAGATACTTAACAGGAAAAAATAAGTAGTTAATTAACGATGTTAGCAAACTCACTCACAATGAGATATCAAGCAGGTTCACAGCAAGACTCTGTTAGCCTTGCAACTGAGGGTTTAGGAGAAAATAAATTTAGAGAAGGAAAGAGAAAAGAGAGTTTGAACAGAAGAATGGGACTTGTCTTAAATGAGAGAAGCTTCTTAAGGAAATGACAGATTTTTTTTTAAGAGGCATACACAGGGAAAAAAATAGAACCATGTAGACTTATAAAATGGAAGATGTTTTTTAGTAAGGAATATAGAAAGTATTCCTTACTAAGTATATGGAAATTGAAGATGGTTGTGGATATGAGCTTGCAATGTGATATTGTTCCAGAAATAAGTAAGTTCCACTTATGTAGAAGGAAAGTAACTTTGGCAGTCTTGGGTTATAACTGGAGGCCTGTGACATTGCCAGTTCTTCACTACAGGAAAGGCACTTGATGGGGAAAAAAATCTCAACTCTGACGAGCACAAAAAGGATTGCTCTGTCAGAGACAGGGATTTAGGTGCACCCCCTGCAAACAGAGCTGTCAGCATCCAAGAACAGATACCTAAATGTCCTTCACTGACCAGATGGCCACTGATAAGGGAAAAGCCTCTCCCAGCCTGGGCTCACTTATTCCCAGAGCAGCCACATGTCTCTGCTTTGAACATCCCTGGAAAACGCCGCAGGGTGTGAAACACGAGTTAAGAAATCAGTACACCTGTTCTGGTGTCTGAGGAGCCAAATAAGGATTATAGCAGTGCCAAAGGCATGTGGAGATCAAAGAAGGATCCAGCCATTTGTCTATGCCATGGAGCCATGGAATATGGGATGTCTAAGAGTGTCCTTGTGTCAGGGAGGCAGCTGGCTAAGCAGGTGGGTCAGGAGGGCACAGCGCACGTACGGTGTGTTGAAGATGGCCAAGGTAGTAGAATCCAGAGGGAGGTAGGGCTGTCACCTGAGAAAACATAAATGAAGGAATGTTTGGGGAGAGCAGGGAAATCCTGGATCCAAAAAGAAATTTTTTATTATTTTTTTTATTTTTTTTTCAGAGCAGAGGAAATTTAGATTAAAACAAGCACATAGAGGATGCTCTTATTACCTGGAAAAAAAATGATAACATAATATCTCTCTATTCCATTTCCCATAAGGCTTGGACTTTTATGGATGCTACTCAAATGCTATCCTGAATTAATCACCCTGTGTGATAGAAGTCACAAACTTAAGGCTGCCTAGTCTATCAAATGGATGTTGTAGCCAGATTTGTCTACAGAAACTACATATTTTAAATGTGACCACTCGCTTCGTTCAAAAAATATTTTAAATGTGACAAGAGTCTTATTAGATTTTTCTGCTGGTGTCTTTAGGAAAGTAATTACTTTTTTGCCTCAGTATTGCACTTGGGGCTTCCAAGCCTTGCTCCTCCCTTTCTCCCCAGCTCTGCTCCTTTGGCTACAATGACTGGAATGCCCTCTTGTCCATATATAGTCCAAGTGCACAGACTGCAGCTGCATCACTGGATAAATGTTGCTAAAGAAAACAGTTCAGCAAGAAACAACTGCTTCAAAGGTTTTCCCAGTTGTAGAAGAAGGTTTCTTGGCCAGATTATCACATTGTTTGTTCTTTTTTATATTTAGATGATCAAGATTACTAAAGTCGCCTTATATTGTTTGGGTAATTTCTTCCTGCAGCAACTGAAGCATTCCAAGATAATTTAAAGACAAAACAAGAAGCAGCATTATTGAATAAAGTTAGTTGTCTTTTTCTCTCTATTTTTCACAGCTACATTTGGCTTTTTCTATCTTGGAAATAAGGGGCTAATTTACCACAAACACTAGGTGGTCTCATTTAAAAAAAAAAAATAGCTACAGGAAGAGAACGAGTCCAGCAGAGGCTGACACATCTCCTGGGGGTTTGAGTGGATGGGGAAATGTCAGAAGGGCTGAAATGTCACTTGGAGCAGGACACAATCTCTCATCTTTTTGGTGGTATCGAGCCAACTAACTCCAGGTGCCGGAATGAATGTATCCTATTTCTAGCTTGGATTTTTAGATACCCCTCCTGTCATGACACAAAAACCTGGAAGATTTTTAAAACCAGTGGACATTTATCACTGGCCTGCTGTGCAGCTTAGGAGCCTGTTGTGCTGGGTGCTGGACCAGCACAGGCCAAAACCCTTCTAGAATTGCCATTGCACCTTTTATCCCACTTAATTATTATTTTCCTCAGCTCTCTTTAATGTTGGGCCTTTCAGCCATACCACTTGCCACCAGATTCCTTTTCACTTTATGCTGAAAAAGAAGGAGAATATCCTGTGGGGAACGTTCTGTTTATTGTATTGCCCAACAAGAAAAAATAAATCTGCTGGCACAAAACTCTTGCCAAGACAGAGATTTGTGTTACTTATGGTACCCACTGCAGCCACGGGGGGATTTAGAACAGTAGCACATTGCAGGTTTAGCTTGGAAGGACAAGTCACTGCCAGAGAAAGCACATGCAGATGCTGATGCAAGAGCTGGAGGGATGGATCTGTGCCATGGAGGGTGAAATGCTGTCGGTGCAACACTGGAGGAGGAGAGGTTGAATGATACTTCTTGGATTCAATTAAATTCCCTGGGGTGGAATTAATTAGCATGACATCAGTCAGCATTTCCGCGGGTGCCAGGCTGTGTTTGGCCCCGGAGTGCCCC